AATCAAATAAACATTTTTAAAACAAAGTTGATGACTGAGCATAAAGTTTATTCGATTAAAATAGCAGAAATCGAACCAAAAATGAACTACATATGGGCAACCTCAAAACAATTGATACCACAAAACGATAGACAATATATAATATAACACTAGATCATGTCCTTCACCAGTCAGAAAACTTTATTCAGTGTAGTTGTAGACAAGCCAGGGGTGCAGGAGTTAACTTACATTTCCCCAAACCTCGCACTGGGGTAAAGTTGGTTTTATACCCGCACAAAGGACCATTAATGTAAATTAATTCGTATAAACCACGAGCAAAATCATCTTCACAGAGGTTAACGAGGCCGTCATACTCAGCAGTTATTTAATCCATATTATTATCCACATAAGTTACAGTTTTTATCACTAGTCATCACAGGAGCTTTTCAAACCATTAAAAACATTACCTGACGACACAAAATATCTCAGTAATATATTTTTAAAATTAAAAACTTACCTGGATAAATGAAGGAGCTGAAATGGCGGACCTCTCCGTTTGGAAAAAATAACCGTCACTCTCAATAGAGTGGAGGAACTATGACGTTAATTTGTATGCAAAAACCCGGAAGCGAGTTAGCATTTTAGCACTTCCGGTTTCCTCGTCCCAAAGTCAATGGGTTTTTTGAATGGTGTTTCCGTAAAATCGCTTAAATAAGGTCCGTGGCTAACACAAATTCAAGGTATTTTTACGTTTTGTTCTACGATATAAAACACATCAGTTACAGCACAATTTTGAATTTTGAATTTGGCCATGCTTCTTTAAAAAGACGGTTGCTATCAAGTTGCTAAATGGGACTACAGGCGGTGTCGGAGACATTATACGTCATCGAGCTGATCTGGGCTGGAGCGCAGTTCGCATGTGTTGGGCATTTGGATTTGTCTGTTATTTAGGTATTTTCATGAATAGTATTTTATAGTTTTTTGTGTTTTTCTAATTAAGAATACAGATGGTGTATAGATCATGCCTTCACATATAAAGGCTGTCAAAACAGATTCATTTGTTGATCATTTATTTTAATTAAACTATATTATGAAGATACTGCTCACCAGTTCAGCATGTCTCTCTCCTGCCCTCAGTAATGCAAACGTGTGAATAAATGTGTAAAAATACAGACATATTAACTGTCGTTTTAACGTGATCAAGTGATTTTTCATCTTTTTTTATTCATCTGAACACATTTTACTCAGTCATAACTGCAATATTTACACTCTTCCATAAAACGTACAGCAGATGACTGTATGGGCTGCTTTTCGCTGTACGTCGTGACATAAAAGGAATATTGAATGTTGCTCTGTGTCTATCATGATGGAACTTGCACCCATTTGATAGTTCTTCCTCATGTCTGTCGTCTGTTAAGGTAAGCAGGCTGTGTGCACGCAAGCGATACACTTATTTAAATATGTCTGATAAAAATACTATATAGGCAGATTTATACACGCAGTTTTAAAACTTTTAGAACAACCGCAAAGCGAAACAGATATTTCCCACGTAAAAACGATCCAAAAGCCACATAGGTCTATGTATTTGTGCGTATTTATTTGTTTATAATATATAGCGTGGATTATAATATAATATACAGAGAGATTAACTCTTTGTCATGGACATTATTTCTAAAATAAGCTTGATAAGTCGTCTGTAGCAGGGTGGGGCTGACGTCACAGACGAGCGCCCCGAGGGCTCTGTAGTCCGTTTATAGCCTAATGTTAGCTTTTCAACTCTTGCGTTTGTTTTTAAGATCCAAAAGTGCTCCAAGTAGTATTTTCGTGTGAGGATTATCCGGCTGAACAAAACGTGTAAGTGTAATAAACTGTTTGAACACAGAGCTTATTATTTGCAATCTTCGAAAAGCCTATGGGAAAATCCTATAGGGATTTTCACGAGGGAACCAGTTTTATGCTAGCAGCCGATTAGCCTACAAAGTGACGTCATAGTTCCTCCACTCTATGCTCCTCCCCAGACCATATTCGCCAGCAGGGGGGCGTTTTACAATTAATTGCTTTTAGAGATTGAACAGTCTGAAGGAAATCAATTAGCTTATTTATTTCACAGAGTAATTTGTCAAAAATAAAATATTAATTGGCGACACAGTGGCTCGGTGGTTAGCGCTGTCGCCTTACAGCAAGAAGCTGATTCAAGTCCCGGCTGGCTGGGTTAGTTGGCATTTCTGTGTGGAAGTTTGCATGTTCTCCCCGTGTTCACATGGGTTTCCTCCGGGTGCTCCGATTACCCCCACAAGTCCAAAGACATGCAGTATATAGGGGAATTGAATATGCTAAATTGTCTGTAGTGTATGTGTGTGTACTGGATGTTTCCCAGCACTTGCAGCTGGAAGGGCCTCCACTGAAACATATGCTGGATAAGTTGGTGGTTCATTCTGCTATGGTGATCTCTGATGAATAAAAGGAATAAGTCAAAGGAAAATAAACAGATGAATAAAATATTACGTGTCAGGAAATATATGAGATATAAAAAAATATATATATTATAAAATTTCAGAATAACCTGGAAAAAATGTCAATTGAAACAGTAAAAGTTTGTAAAGTAAACAGTTTTTTTACAGTGTAGGGTTTAAGGGGGTTTGGGTTCTCTTCATGTCTCCTCTGGCTTTCTAAAACAGTTTGTTACACAGTGACTCTTGCACATGCAGACATGAAGAGAAAAGCGATTTTTCAAATAAAGCAATAGATGTTTTTGAATTTAAACTTCATCTTTGTTCAAATGTTCTATTTATCAAAGAATATAACATTTTATAGAATATCTGGTATTCAAAAAATCAATAAATCAATCAATCAAACAATCAATCAATCATGCAATCGATCGCCCAACAAATCATCATAGAAATGTCTTCTTCAAGAAATGAATTAATATTATTTGTTTTTTTTTTTAAACAGGAAAACATTTTATTACATCCAGATGTAGTCATATCAAACTATTCTAAAAATAAATAAATAATAAATATTTCTAATATAAAATAAATATGAAAGTGAAACATGTGTCCCCTCCATCATCAGAACACTGAATTAAAGAGGCTCTTAATTGCATCTTGAGAAACTGAGACATTGTTGTAAAGGATCACTAAACTCCTTTAACAAAACAGTCCCATACTGTCAGTCATTGAGAACCGTAACATTTCAGGAACTGTTGACTAGAATTTCAAAAGGGAGAAAGAGAGACTTCTAGTTTTTATTTTACATTTTCATCCTCTGTATTTACCTATATATTTATTTTTATTTATTTTATTTATAATTTTTTTCAAATGGCTTATTATTTATTTGTCAGTGTCTTGATTCAGCGTTACATACTTATTGAAGGCCTCAGAAAAATAGGGAGGGGGAGATGGGAGGGATGGTCCATAGAAGGGGGTAGAGAAGTGTAAGTTTGTTTTAGGAATTTACAGATTTCTTGTTTTTATTGCTATGTATTTTATGTGATCTCTTTGCTGATAGGACTTCTATTTTTCATATACATTTGTAAGTTTGTATAATATCTGGAAAAAATGCCATAAAAATATTGGAAATATGTTTAATCCACTTAAATTTTAGTAGATTTAATAAAACAACTAAGTTAACTTAAAAAAAAAAAAAAAAATATGAAAGTGATTTAAAAATAAAAACACACATAAAAAACACAAATAGAACAAAAAAAATGAAATACAAAAAAATATTTATTTATTAATTTTCTTTTTGGCTTAATCCCTTTATTAATCTGGGGTCGCCACAGCAGAATGAACCGCCAGCTAATCCAGCATATGTTTTACACAGCGGATGCCCTTCCAGCTGCAAAACACTTGGAAACATTTATACACATTCATTCACTACGGACAATTTAGCTTATTCAATTCACCTGTACCGCATGGCTTTGGACTGTGGAGGAAACCGGAGCACCCAGAGGAAACCCACACCAACACAGGGAGAACATGCAAACTCCACACAGAAACGCTAACTGACCCAGCTGAGGCTTGAACCAGCAACCTTCTTGCTGTGAAGTGATAGTGCTACCCTCTGTGCCGCCATGCTGCTCACAATAAAATCTGAAAAAATAAATGCTTTGGCAATACATTTGATTTGTAACATTTGTCATACCAACAAAGCAATTATTGAGAGAGAAAGAGAGAGAGAGAGGGGGGGGGGGGTATTATAAATGAATAATTGTAAATATACTGATTATTATTGTTTTTATTACTGTTTTATCCTAAAATGTTGATTGTTAAGTGTACAGTGTATTCTGATATATTATTACTTTATATTGGTACAAATGAGAAGATACATGAGAAGCTAAGTCTAGAGAAGATACAGCTTCGGATCACATTAATACAGCATCATTTTGTGACACAGCAATAATTCATATTTTTATACCACTGTGACGGTTGCATTAAGGGTTTATTTATTGGATTTATTGGGTAATTTAATAAGTAACATAAATAATACTCAACAACTCGTACAACTACTGTCTTTACATTACTATGACGCTTGGGTTTAGGCTTGGGGTAGGGGTAGACGTTAATAAAATACAATTCATGGGACATTTAATACATAATTTAATTCTTAACTACTGGCTGCAACCGTGTCTGAGCCAATATAAAATCTGAGCTAGCAAAAGCCGAATTTTACCTCTAGAGGGAGCCACAATTTCACTTATGCGAGTCAGATACAAATCTGACTGCGGTATTAAAACCGAGGTGCAAAATATGCGTTCAGGGTATATTTTAACACTTATATATTATTAAATATACTTAATGAGATTTAAATGATGCCTGAAAGAACGTCACGAGCTTGAAATGACGCGAACATTCTAAAAGAACATTTACATCATCATCAGAACGAGAGTTTCACCGCATTTCACTCGTGATCGCTGCTTACGGCACGTTCAAGCTACTTTTGTTGCGATAAAATCTTGACTTTAGTCTGTCAATATGTGGTTCAAAAACCAAAAAAGTTCTAGTCAGGTCCTGCCACACCCCCCAGAACATCGAGGAGTGAACTCTCCTACAAATATGGAGGTTTCAGCGAAAAACATCAGCTGTGGTCTATCTGAGTCTGGCCTAAATGCCAGTGTTGAGCCTTCCTCCTCTGTTCAGCTTCGTTCTGGGAGTCGAACACTGAGGATTGACCAGCTTACTCCTCTCTGTCGGCAACTGATTGCCAGGCGCTCAATCCTGCCTGCTCTGAAGCCAAAAACTGTTCCTGTGAAGTGTGTCAAAAAGCAGATCTTCACAGATGGACATCTGAAAGCTAGAGCAGTGAGCGCTCCTAGACCTCAGATGAAGGTTTCAGTGAAAGACATCTTCTACCCGTCTGACCTGACTAGTGTTGACCATTCTCCTAATTCTGGGAGTCCAGCTGTCAGGATGGATACACATACGCCTTACCGCCAGCAGTCTGTTGCTGTGCTCTCAAACCCGCCTGTTCTGGAGTCCAAGTATCATGTGAAGCCTGTCAACCAGCAGAGCTTCACAGATGGACCTCAAAAACATCAGGTGAAGGTTTCAGTGAGAAACATCAGCTACCCTGCATGTGTGTCTGATCTGAATGACAGCGTTGAGATGAAGATGAAGGAGGATGTGCCTGTTGTGAAGGCAAAAGGTGTTCCTGTGAAACCTGTCAGTAGACAGAAGTTCACTGATGGACCTCCTAAGTGTAGAGCGAGCACTTCTAACACTCAGAGGAAGGTCTCAGTGAAAGACTTCCCCTTCCCTTCATGTGTGTCTGGCCTGAATGTCCGTGTTGACCGGCCCTCATCTCGTCTGCCTCCATCTGGAAGTAGAGCAGTAAGGATGGATGAACGCTTGCCTCTCCACCGGCAGTCAGCTGCTGTGTGCTCAAACCTGCCTCTTCTGGAGCCACACCGAGTTCATGTGAAGCCTGTCAACAAGCAGAGCTTCACAAACGGACCTCCAGAACGCAGCATGAGCTCTCCTAAACACAAGACTGAAGTGTCACTGAAAAACATCAGCTTCCCTCTGTGTGAGTCTGACCTGAACGCCGGTGTTGACCACTCTTCATCTCCTCTGGCACATTCTGGGAGTCCAGCAGTGAGGATGGTCAAACCTACACCTCTCCGCCAGCATCATGTTGCTGCTCCCACACGCTTGTCTGTATTGAAGCCAAGCTGTGTTTCTGTAAAGCCTTTCGATGAACTCCCTTCATGTTCGTCTGATCTGAAAGTGAAGCCTCAACTTTCCTTACCCAGACTGCCAGGCTTTACAAGTCGACTAGTGAACAAGCGTGAGTCTGTACGTGTCCCTCTGTTCACTAATATGCCTGTTCTGAAACTAACCCATGTGTCTGTGGTGTTGTGATTAAAGTTCTCATGTGTTTTCAGTGTCCATTTGAGGATGAGGATGTCAGGATGAAGAGGGCTCAGCCAGCAAAAAGTAACCCACTTCTGCTGTCAAGATTTCCCTCTGCAGTCTGTTTTTGAGTGTACAGAACTGCTACAAATCTTCCTTTGTGCATCAATAAATTGATTCTTGAAAAAAATATATGTGTGCATTTATTGATCTTCAAATGTTATAATGATCTTAAAATGTCTTTGTGTATTTAACTAAACAGTTCTTTGAGCTTCAAGAAAATCATTTTGTTGTCCATTAAACATCAAACCATCAAGAAACATGTCAATTCACCATTTCAATTTCACCTACAGCTTTAAAAGGTTCAATCGCTGGACATAGATAAAAAAACTGATCATTTAATTTGACAGTTATATACTTATTATACTCAAAGATAATGTTAACAATGCAGCCTAGCAATATGTCAGCCTGTTAAACAGATAGCAATTGGTATTAATGAAAATAACGTGTAAAAGGCAGAATGCATGTAGTTATTATGTGTACATTTTGATTACATTTGGTTATAATATTAGAAGGCTTAAGGGAGTTAGAGGTCTCTTAATGTCTCCTCTTGTTTTCTATAAACAGTTTGTGTTCTAGGGAGACTCCATTTTTCATTTTTACAAATAAAAATATATATTTTTTAAAGCAAAGCAAGAGATGTTTTTTGAATTTAAACTTCAGCTTTGTTCGTATGTGTCAAAGTATACAAGATCATTTTGAGGGAAACAATAATAATGGTCGTAACCTATTTCCTGTTTTACATTTTTAATTTCTATACACTGTAAAACCCAGGAGTCAACTTGATGAAATGAAATGAGTGTCGTTAACGAAAAACTGACTGAAAGTTAATTCTAATTATCTAAAAAGAGTTTTGAACTCAATGTTGAAGGTAATGAGTTAATTTAATACCTGTTATTTATTTTAACTTAAATGGTTTGTAGCAATCGTTTTCCTCAAATGGTTTGAGTCACCTTAACTTTTTGGGCTTTACAGTGTAGCCTCAGAGAATCCAGAAAGAGCCACATAGTGATAATAAATAATGTTATGGCAGCTTTTTTAACATAATATATGATTGAATTGCCTCTTGTTACATTAAATAGTTTGACAACAAGCAGGAAATGCTTATTGGCCAATGACATCGCCACATTGAAATGGTCAGCTTCAGAAATATCTGCTTAATGAAGTTAATAAATTTTATGTTTTGAAGCAGGAGAACATGCTTGTTTCATCCAGATTTAGAGTCAAATTATTCTAAAAATAAAAACACACATAGGCTTAAAAAACAAAACACAATTGTGTAATATGATAAAAGATGAAGAAAAGGATGGCGACACAGTGACAGTGGTTAGCACAATCGCCTCACAGCAAGAAGGTCACTGGTTTGAGTTCTGGCTTAGTCAGTTGGCAATTCTATGTGGAGTTTGCATGTTCTCCTCGTTCATGTGGGCTTCCTTTGGGTACGGTTTCCCCCGGTCCAAAGAAATGCTTTACAGGTGAATTAAAGAAACTAAATTGGCTGTAGTGTATCTGTGTGTGTGTGTGTGTGTGTGCGCGCGCATGTGAGAGTCTATGTGTGTGTTTCCCAGTACTAGGTTGCAGCTGTAAGGGCATCCGCTGTGTAAAACATGGTGAATAGGTTGGCAGTTCATTCCGCTGTGACAACCCCTGATGAATAAAGGGACTGAGCTGAAGGAAAATGAATTAATAAACAAAATGCATTGCCAATGCAAATGCATTGATTTGGTACATTATTCAAGATATCACTGTTGTTTACACACACACACACACACACACAGATATAAAAAAAAAAACTACAAGCAGTTTTTAAAAAAAAGTTGAAATAGGCTGTTTTATTTTGAAAATATTTATAATAATGTAAAAGAATGCATAATGTTTTGTGACAACCATGCTATACATATTCATGCAACTTATGCTTGGGATTCTTTAATGGAAAATACTCAAATTAATAGCATGTATTATTGAGTATTTAGACATTTAATCTTTACTGTAATTTTGAGCAATTTACTAACATCGCTGCCGAATAAATATGTCTATATCATTCTTCACAGTGTCAACCTGTCAACAAAGCAGAGATTGAGAGGTGGCCTTTAGGACCCGGTGGTTATTTGCGGAAATTGATTTACATCCCACGTCGTGACGTCATGTGCTACAAGCAAACATGGAGGACGGTGGAGTGTTGGTTGAGAAACCTCAGGTGAGATCTTATGATGTAATTTTAACAATTTTACTCTTACAAGGCTGGCCTAAACAGTTTGATCATATATAAATGTTTCTAGTCTATGCAAACAATGCCCATATATGACAAGAACACGTGTCTGCAGCGTAAAATAACTGATGAGAAGATGCCGATTCATTCAGCTAGCAGCAAATGCTCAGTCATGCCATTCTCTGACAGCGGCTAATGTTAGCATGTGTGCTCGATTTATAGCAGATAGCCAGATCACAGTGAGCCTGTCAAATTATATTTTCTTTTGCCGATGTTTGTTCTGTATATGTATATTTTACAAAAATACTGACATGAAGTTCATATATTTGTGTTGCGAAATGAAACATCAGTTGAGGTCTTGGTTAGCCATGTAACGTTAGCATAGCAATGAGCTGTGTTTGTGAGTTAGTTACGTTAAATATATCGTTAGACATGTACTAACCTGTGTTTTAACAGTTACACCATAACAGTATGCTGGTAATGCTATCGAATTCGAATGAACACTTGTATATAATAATATGTATGTTATTGACATGAGTGTTTTTGTAGATAACGGTTTGACTAAATCGATGCATTACTGGATTTTGTTACTTGTAAATTCTGTGTGATACTCGTTTAGATGTCGTTTGTTTTATACATAAAAGCCATACTAAAGCTTAGGTTTTTTAATTTAATAAAGAACATCAACAGAAAGAATATGGACTTAAGAATTTTTTTTATTAAGAAAAGTTCATGACGTTTAGATTTTATTGAAATGTTTCAGATTTAATTCAGATTAATGTTTCTGTAATAATGTTTTGATTCTACATGTTTTTTATTTATTTATTTATTTGTTTTTTTCCAGGATGATGTGCCGGCCCTGCTGAATTCCAGGCCACAGACCGGCTTGTCTTTCTTGGCACCAGAACCAGAAGATCTGGAGGATCTTTACAGCATATATAAGGTTTTTATGCTTTCTTTCTTTTTTTTAACCTTCAGGGGTCCGTTGTTTGTATGTGGATTACTCAATTAGCTGGATTTGGTTATTGAAGATTTTACACAATCCAGGATCATTTCGTTCTACAAAACTTATCTGAGAGTTGTTGTCGTCATAGCAGTTCTGGTAGCACAAACCATTCCGGGAGCAGGCTTATTTTATATAAACAGAATTAGATCGGGTCATTTCAAGCAAAGGTAATACTGAAAGTATGTACCGAATGCTGATATTTTCTTACAGTAGTAGGTGTATACACTTGGAAAAACAGTAAAAAGTTGATAGATAGATAGATAGATAGATAGATAGATAGATAGATAGATAGATAGATAGATAGATAGATAGATAGTTAAAAATTCAATCTGCACTTCACAATAAAAGTGCAAAAACTGTCACAAGGTGGTTCCCCCTAAAGGGAATTATTTATCAGTATTATTATTTATTAATTAGGGTTTTATTAATATGGACTTTTTAGACAAATGTGTACTATTTTAATGTACCAGCTTTAGTACAATTTTTGTATGATAATAGACATGCACAATATCCAACAGTTTATTTATTTTTTTTAAAGGAATAATAATTTATGCAGTCAAAATGCATGTTTTGACAGCCAATATGACGGTGATTTGATGCTTTGCAAAAGTTGCTGACACCTTTACCAATATCAAAATGCTTTGTTGATGCAAAATAAATTTAAACAGCCAAATATTCCTTGCGCCGATTAAAAAAACTTGAATAGGCTACTATAATAAAGAATATCCGACTTAAATGTAAACTAAATAAATTGCAAAATACTCGACACATGAAAGTGTAACGCCTGCAGTCCACAACAAAGGTGGAAAGTTATTGCTTGTCACATTTAACAAACTCGTTTATACGAGTGTTATTGCTCACATGGATAATTTAAAATTAATCAGCTGATGTCATTACACTGCTGTGCTGTCAGCCAATTGTTGCATTGCTGATCATCATTTTATATGGATCATTTATGATTTCATAAATTAGCCAGAAATCGGTTATCAAGATTAAAAGATCCAGGATCTGTCACATTATCTTAGATCATTTAAGTGAGGTACGAAGTACGAACCCCGGGTGTATTTAGACATATAAGAGATACATAAACATTTCTGTTAGGAAAACAATTTGTATATAATGTGTGTGAGTTAGACTTCCCCTCAATTACTCATTGACAAACTGCTGATTATATACAATATGGTTTTAGTTAAGTTATTGACTATTATAAAATTAAAATTATTTATGATCAAATGGTCATGAAATAAGAAAAACTGTACCGCTGTTGTATGCATTATGAAGGTAAGATGCAGTATAAATGCTTCTTATCTTTCACAATATAAACCATTGTATATCCGCACCACCACGCTTATTAATTGACTCTCATTTGCACACTGCAGAAGTTGCAGCAGGAGTTGGAGTTTTTGGAGGTGCAGGAGGAATACATTAAAGATGAACAGAAGAATCTGAAGAAGGAGTTCCTTCATGCCCAAGAGGAGGTGAAGAGGATACAAAGCATCCCTCTGGTCATTGGGCAGTTCCTAGAGGCCGTCGACCAGAATACAGCTATTGTGGGCTCAACCACAGGTCAGAAGATTGATCTGTTTATGATGGAGGGGATGGTTTAACTGTTGACGTAAGAAGCAGGGCTGCATCAAAATACATCAGAATAAAGTTATTTTAATGTTGTGCCATGAGGATCACATCATGCTGATTGCCATTTAATTTAATGCAGTACCAGTATTGAGTGTTTACAGTATTTACAAACCAATATTGACTGTGTGCATGTCAATGAATACAACCTCCTAGAAAGCACAGAGTATATTTGCAAAATACTTAAATAGTTTTAAAAAAAAGTTTTTAATTCTTAAAATAATGTTTTTTTTTCAGCCAATGATGTCATTACAATAA